CAGGAATTGGGGAACAGAGAAAAACAAGACAATGTTCCTGTCTTCATGGAGTTCACATTAAATTGGGGGAGTCAATTTACAAATAAATACAAATGTAAAAAAATCTAAGGAAATGGTAAGTGTTAAGAAAAAATAAAGTAAGGGAATGGATAGCAATAGAGGAAGGAAAGGCAAGTTAAAACTACAGTGAGATACCATTTCACACTCAGCAGAATGTCTATAATAAGGCAGATGTTAACCAATGTTGGCAAGGAGGCAGAGAAACAAGAAACCTCATGCATCGCTGGTGGGAACGTAAAATGGTGTTGCCACTTTAAATAAACAGTTTGGCAGTTTCTCAAAAAGTTGAGCATAAAACTACCATATGACCCAGCAATTTCACTTCTAGGTATCTACCAAAGAGAAATAAAAACATATCCACCCAGGGACGCCTGGCTGGCTCAGTCGGTAGAGGTTGATCTTGGGGTTGTGACTTCAAACCCCACGTTGAGTGTAGAGATTCCTTAAAAATAAAATCTTAAGAAATTAAAAAAAAAAAACAAAACCTATATCCAAGGGGCACCTGGGTGGCTCAGTCGTTAGGCATCTGCCTTCGGCTCAGGTCAGGATCCCAGGGTCCTGGGATCGAGCCCTGCATCGGGCTCCCGGCTCAGCGGGAAGCCTGCTTCTCCCTCTCCCACTCCCTCTGCTTGTGTTCCCTCTCTCACTGTCTCTTTCTGTGTCAAATAAATAAATGAAATCTTTAAATAAAATAAGATAAAATGTTTAAAAAAAAAACACTGTATCCACACAAAGACTTACACACAAATGTTCACAGAACATTACTTACAATAACCAAAAAATGAAACAAATGGTGAACAAAATATATACATCCATACAATGGAATACTATTCAGCTATAAAAAGAAACAAACTACAAACACTGTTATGTCATGGATGAACCTCAAGAACCTACTGAGTAAAATAATTCAGATACAAAAGAACATGTATTCTATGATTCTATTTATATGAAATGTCCAGAAAAGACAAACTTGTAGAGACAGAAAGTAGATAGTGGTTTCCTGGGGCTCAGGGTGAAAATGGAAATGAAATGGGCATAAGGGACCTTATTTAGGGGGTGAAAATATTCCAGAACTGATTTATGGTGATGGGTGCATCACTGAGTTACTACAATGACTTACTAAAAGTCATTGAATTGTACGTTTGAAATGGGTGAATTTTATGATATGTAAAATAAACTCAGAAGGTTATTTTTTTTTAAAAAAGAAAGTAATAAAGGGGTGAGATATTTCAAGTGGGTTAGTGCAGGGAAGGCCTTCCTGAGGAGCTGGCATTTGACCAGAGGCCTGGATGAATGAGGGAGTGAGCAATGCAATGATTAGGGAAGAGTGTAGAAGCAGAAAGTACAACTAGCATAAAGATCCAAAGAGACTTAGCAATTTAGGAGCATTAAGAAGGCCATGGTATTAAAGTGGAGTGAACAACAAAATTGTGGGAAGTAAGGTTGAAGATGTAAGCAGGTGTTGTAGGTCATGGTAAGAAGTTTGGGTTTTATTTTGAGCATGAAGTCTACCGAAAGGATTTTTAACTGGTTTACCTTAAAAAACAAAAACAAAACCCTCACTGCCTACTTTGTAGAAAATCAATGAGGGCGCCTGGGTGGCTCAGTTGGTTAAGCCACTGCCTTCGGCTCAGGTCATGATCCTGGAGTCCCGGGATCAAGTCCTGCATCGGGCTCCCTGCTCAGCAGGGAGTCTGCTTCTCCCTTTGACCCTCCCCCTTCTCATGCTCTCTCTCTCTCAAATAAATAAATAAAATCTTTAAAAAAAAAAAAAGAAAAGAAAATCAATGACCATTAAGGGGTGCCTGGGTGGCTCAGTCAGTTAAGCAACTGCCTTCAGTGCTGGTTGGGCTCTCTGCTCAGTGGGGAGTCTGCTTTTCCCTCTCCGTCTGCCCCTCCTCTCAGCTCATGCTCTCTCTCTCAAATAAATAAATAAAATATTTTTTAAAAAATCAATTGTATGGGGCAAAAATGGAAGTAGGGAGATCAGATAGGGGACTAACTGCAGTAGACAAGGCCAAAAGTTAGTTTGGGCTTGTGCCAGTGGTAATGATGAAGGTGGTAAGAAGAGGTCAGATTCTGGAGATATTTTGGAGATGGAGCAGATAGGACTTGCTAGTTTATTGGGAATTGGGTGTGATACAAAGAGAAGAATCAAGAATTGCTCCTAAATTTTTGGCCTGCCTAATATAGCAGGCCAAAAATTTATCCTTTACTGAGATGAGACCCTTAAGAGTGGAACAGTTTGGGTGGGTAATCAAGAATTTGTTTTTACAGCTGTGAAGTTTGAAAAGTCTAGACCTCCAGGTGGACATGAGGAGTATGCAGTTGGATAAATGAGTCTGGAATCAAAGAAAGAGGTAAGCTAGACATATAAACTTGGAAGTCATTAGCACATAGATGGCATTAAAACAAATGATCCGGATATCATATAGGGACAGAAATCAGGATGAGGGGAAGGATCCAGCAAAGGAGCTGAGAATGACCATTAGTGAGGTAGTATGAAAATCAGAAGCAGGATATCTTAGAGGGCAAATGAAGAGAGTGGTCAAGGTCACTGCTTGACAAGTAGTCTCAGTGCAGCAACAAGGATGACATCTTGGTTGGAGGGGCCATCAGAAAGAATGAGAGATGAGGAAGTAGAGACAATATGTACAACCCCTTTGAGAAATTTTACAATGTAGGGAAGTGGTTAGCTGGAGGAAGGATGTGGGGGTCAAGGCAAGGGGCTTAAAATTTTTTTTAAAATTATATTTTTAATGATGGGAGACATCTTGAAATGGAAAGAACCCAGTGGGCCTTGGGTATGATGAGGGAGGCAACAAGATGGGTTGTACTATTGTCTGGGAGTTAAATGGGACCTTTACTTGATTATTGATACAGTGACTTATGACTTGCTACAGTTTACACGACAGTACAGTTACAACTGGATTGTGCAATAGGGTCCCTTGATAGTGAAAGGAAACGAGTCCACCCTGGGAGCTTGACTTGACTTCATAGCTGTCCATAAGAGGGCAGCAGAGAAGGTTCTGCAAGGTGGTCCCTGGCAGGTAATGACTCTGTCACATAGTCTTCAAAGATACTCAAGGGAATGCAACCTGTCCTCCTCGGAACCTCAACACTCAAATCCAGTTTAGAGACCCCACAGTCTCCAGACTTGGGGGCATACTTGAGAAAAATGTGGCCAGGCTTTGAGATGTGGAGGGAAGGAAGCAATGATAAAGCTGACTGAGCATGGAAGAATGGCCAGTACAGAGGGAAGTTGTAGCTATTATGGTGAAGCATTTTTTTTATAAATTGAGGCTGGACCATCGTTATTATAAATAGACCGATTCCCCTGGAGTAATCACTGCCACAATCATTCCAAAAGAAACATTGATGCTGATGTACAAAATGTGTGGCCAAATTTTAAGAAAAGAAAAAAAAAGCCAAGTAGAGAAAGACCTAATTATGGTGGAGGGAGGAAGACACCCAGCTCTGACTGACCTTGAATGTGAATAACCACAGCCTAGAACATGTACACAGGATCTTCCAGCCCACAAAAGATTTCACAGTCTTTGTCTTTTTTCCATTTGATATTTATAGAGACCATTGAGTAAATATCACTGATGTTATTCTCATTTTCACTTTTCGGATAAAAAAAGAGAGGCTTAGAGAAAGGTCACCTGACTTTTCCACCATCACACAGCTAAGGAATGGCTAATCCAGGGCTCAGATTCAGGACTTTCATCTCCGTACCTTTGCATCTACAGAGAGTGACTTGTGGGGGTTACTGTGTGGAAACACATAACATGTTTAGATCGAATATGAAAGGTATGAAGGGGCTTAAGCTTGATGGCAAATGGAGATGAAATGGGGCAGTGAGGAGCAGTCCTCTGTCTGAATAGGGTTGTTGATACCGATGTAGAAGAATCAAATTTTTTCTGTGCAGCTTTGGAGAGTTCAGACTAGAACAGAGAGAGAGATTCCACTCAGTTTGTGAGGACCTCCATAAAAAAGAAATTGTCGAGTTGTATTCTTGAAGTGTTGAAGCAGGGGCTAGCAGACTATTTGACAAGGCTGCAGAGGGGACTCTTTGACGTTACAACCTCTAACATTCTATTCAAATGAAGTCTCTGGAAACATTTAGGGCTTGTTTGCAAAAAGCTTGAGTAACAGTAGTACGCTTTCCCAACACTCCAGTTCCCTGAAAGGAAGATGGGATGTTACACTGTGCCTTCATGCTGCAATAATTATACACCACGCATGTCCATTTCTGCTTGACCTGCTCCCAATTGGGATGGGAGCTGAGGAGTTGGGAGGCTAGCTCAGGAAGAGGAGGGAGCTGTGACTGATCCCAGACAAAAGTGGAAGCAATTCACTGCTCTGGGCAGGGAAGGGCAACTCTTTGTCTCAGCAATTGAGAAACCCTTGGCAACACAGAGGGAGGAATTCACCAGGGGCCTGACTCAGAGAGGATATGTGGGGGAAGGGTGACACAGGAACCTTGGGGATGGACTGGTTTATGGGTAGAAGCTTTGCACAGAGGAACCGTCAGAGGAGAAAGAAGCTATTTGTTCCAGGAGAGCAATTTAGAGAGATTTTGTTTGTGTGGGCCTTCGCTTATGAGGAAAGTGTTTGTGGGGAAGAAGGTTATGGAGCTAGTGATATGCATGGGAGCACTAATGAGAAACATGGTTTGTAGGGAGCTTGCTTGGCTGGGTCTGGGTTTGGGGCGGCCGAGCAGGGGGTCTGGGGCAGTGAGAGGGGCCACAGGGGCAGAAGGAAGAGTCCTTGCTGTGGCCTTTACAAATAGACAGTTCTGGGGCACCTGGGTGGCTCAGTCGGTTGAGTGTGAGCTCTTTTTTTTTTTTTTTTTTAAGATTTTATTTATTTATTTGACAGAGAGACATAGCGAGAGAGGGAACACAAGAGGGGGGCGGGTTGGGGGGAGAAGGAGAAGCAGGCTTCCTGCCAAACAGAGAGCCTCATGTGGGGCTCGATACAGGACCCTGGGACCATGACCTGAGCTGAAGGCAGACGCTTAACGACTGAGCCACCCAGGTGCTCCGAGTGTGAAGCTCTTGACCTCAGCTCAGGTCTTGATCATGGGGTCATGAGTTCAAGCCCTGTGTAAAAAACAACAAAAACAGATACAGTTTTAAAATAAATTTATTTTATTTTTAATCTTTATTTTATTATTAAAAATAAATTTTATAAAGATTTTATTTATTTATTAGAGAGAGAGAGGGAGAGAGAGAGAGACGCAAGGGAGGGACAAACAGACTTCGCACTGAGTGTGGAGCCCATTGCAGGGCTTGATCCCAGGACCCTGAGATCATGACCTGAGCTGAAATCAAAAGTCCGCCGCTCAACCGACCAAGCCACCCAGGTACCCCTAAAAATAAATTTTAAATAAAAATAAATAAAATAAAAATCTTACATGATTACCAAAACAATACATATTAATGTAGAACAATTGGACAATATAAAGAACAACAAGAAAGAAAGAAAAAAGAACCCTTCAGCCAAGATAGGCACTGTTATCAGTTTGGTATATTACAATGGATTTGGTATATTTTTTGGAAATTTTAACGACTACTTTGTCCCTAACTTTTTACTTTGAAAACCTTCAAACCTGTAGAGAAGTCGAAAGAACAATGTGATGAAAACTAGTGTACCTTCTACCATCAATTTTTTTTTTTTTAAGATTTTATTTATTTATTTGACAGAGAGAGACACAGCAAGAGAGGGAACACAAGCAGGGGGAGTCGGAGAGGGAGAAGCAGGCTTCCCACAGAGCAGGGAGCCCGATGTAGGGCTCGATCCTAGGACTCTGGGATCACGACCTGAGCTGAAGGCAGACGCCCAACGACTGAGCCACCCAGGCGCCCCTCAGTTGTTAGCATTATACCACATATACACTTCTTTTTCTTTTCCTGAGCCATTTGAAAGTAAGTTGTTGCCGATATCACATCGGTTCACTTTTAAGTATGTCAGGCGTGCATTTTTTTTTTTCTTTTCTTTTTAAAGATTCATTTATTTTTTAGAGAAAGCAAGAGCATGAGCAGGAGGGGCAGAGGGAAAGGGAGAGAGGATCTCAAGCCGACTCTACACTGAGCACGGAGCCTGATGCAGGACTCAATCCCAGGACCCTGAGATCATGACCTGAGCCAAAACCAAGAGTCTGACGCTTAACCGACTGAGCCACCCAGGTGCCCCCATCAGCATGCATTTCTAAGAATAAGGACATTCTCCTACATAACACAGTATCTCACCTGAGAAGATCAGTATGAATTCAAGAAGGTCTGCATATGTCTTACTTATCAGTATGTCTTACTACAGATTCTGAATGTTTTCCCCTTTCTTATATCTTTCACCTTTCAAGGCAGAACTTCAATCACTTACCTAGCCAGCTAAGCCAAAGCAACTAGATGCTGGGGAGGAAAGAAAGAGACTCTCTAAGAGCATGGAAATCTGGAAACCTGCCAGAAGGACACTGCTCAGAGGAGTCCAGGACATTTCTTTTCCCCTGAGCTCATTTTCCAGGCTGTGGGCTAGAGCTTTGCTTTGGGATCCTTCCCTCCCTTCCTCTCTACCTCCCCAAACCGTAGTATCTACTTGTTCTGCGCTAGATTCTGCACCAAGGTCTGCCAACCCAAGTGAACTTGGTCTCTAATCTCAAGAAAGTACAGAAAAGGCAGAGTTTCTCTCTGGTGAGTGGTTTCTGTCCTTGGCATTGTAATCTGTCATTTAAGAACATCATGCCCATGGGGCGCCTGGGTGGCTCAGTTGGTTAAGCAACTGCCTTCGGCTCAGGTCATGATCCTGGAGTCCCGGGATCGAGTCCCGCATCGGGCTCCCTGCTCGGCAGGGAGTCTGCTTCTCCCTCTGATCCTCCCCCTCTCATGCTCTCTGTCTCCCATTCTCTCTCTCAGATAAATAAATAAAAAATCTTTAAAAAAAAAAAAAAAAAGAACATCATGCCCATAGGACTGGCTTGTCTGCAGGTGACCTTACCAGGGTCTTTGGACTTCACATGGAAAAAGCCTCTGCTCCTTGAACCACCGATTGCCCCCCACCCGCCATCATCATGACCTGGCCAGGGCAACAGAGACAATTTCATGAAGAAAAAGCAAGCCCCTTTACTCTGAAATTTTAGCTTTGTCCTTTTCCCATGTTTTCTTTATGTAGGGAAAATATATCTGATTTGCAGATTGAGGGGCCCTCGTGTTTCCTTGCTTGACCCAGACTTTTTTTTTTTTTTTAATACTGTTGTTGGCTGTCCTTTCAAAATTGTTTTCCTACATGTAAGTTTATAAACATGGAGGTCTGTGAGCTAATTTTAACATTTCAGTAATCTTAATGAAAACCACACGTTTGGGGCGCCTGGGTGGCTCAGTCGTTAAACGTCTGCCTTCGGCTCGGATCATGATCCCAGGGTCCTGGGATCGAGCCCCACATCAGGCTCCCTGCTCCGCGGGAAGTCTGTTTCTCCCTCTCTCACTTCCCCTGCTTGTGTTCCCTCTCTAGCTGTGTCTCTCTGTCAAATAAATAAATTAAATCTTAAAAAAAGAAAAAGAAAAAGAAACCCACAAGTTTACTGTAAATAAGACTACAACATGACATGGGACACCTGGGTGGCTCAGTCAGTTAAGTATCTGCCTTTGGCTCAGGTCATGATCCCAGGGTCCTGAGATAGAGCCCCTCCTCAGGGTCCCTGCTCAGCTGGGTCTGCTTCTCCCTCTCCTTCTGCCGCTCCCCCTGCTTGTGCTCTCTCTCTCAATCTCTGTCTGAAATAAATAAATAAAATTAAAAAAAAATTAAGACTACAACATGATAACTCATACTAAGTTTATTTGAATTGTATCAACCCATTGAGGCAACCCTGGTTATCTCCTTCTTATTAAAAACTCTTTGGTAAGTTTTTTTTTTTAATTAATACAATGGGAAAATTAAATTGTGGTGATTGGTAAGTATAATAGCAAAATCTCCTCAAAACTTAAAATTTTTGGTACCATCTGAGAGTTTAGGTTAGGTCAGATCAGCATTTGATAAATAGTAACCACCATTAAAAAAAAAATAGTAACCACCATTTGTAAAATCAAACTCCTACTTTACCCAAATTCCTAATCTATCAATGGGGGGCACTAAGAACCCACAGACTCCAGCTTTGGGGACCAAAATTCAGGCTTAGGCAAGTATAATGATTTTAGCATCCTCACAACTAAAGTTCAACCAATCAAACTGTATTCTGCCTCTTTCCTCTTACCTAAATTTGAGTTGTGTTATCCTTCATCGTAGATAGTTTTGTGGGCTCCCTTTAATCCTTTCTTGGAACAGGTAAAGTATAAAAGGATACAAACTAACAAGCATGCAAATATATTTTTTAATTTAAATTCAGGTAATTAACATATAATGTATTATTAGTTTCCGAGGTAGAGTTTAGTGAATCATCCGTCTTATATAACACCCAGTGCTCATTACATCACGTGCCCTCCTTAATGCCCAGTTACCCCATCCCCCCTCCCACCACCCCTCCCCCACATCCCTCAGTTTGTTCCCTGTAGTTAAGACTCTCCTATGGTTTGCCTCCCTCTCTGATTTTGTCTTATTTTATTTTTCCCTCCCTTCCCCTATGATCCTCTGTTTTGTTTCTTAAATTCCACATGAGTGAAATCATATAATTGTCTTTCTCTGACTGATTTTGCTTAGCAAATACCCTCTAGTTCCATCCACGTCATTGCCAAATGGTAAGATTTCTTTTTTCTTTTTTTGGATGGTTGAGTAATATTGCTTACAAATATACTTTAAGAAGGAGACAGGGGGTGCTTGGAGATCAGAAAGAGAAAGTCTAAATTTTGGGAATTGCTTCCTTATCAGCCACCACGACTCAGGGATAAGATGCCGGCTCGGTGCTTAATTCGGAATCAGAAATGTTTCCTCATCCTCATGCTGGCCTGACTGAACCTCAGAACTACTCACCACCCCTGCCTACCAAGCAAACATCTCTTTGAGGTTTGGTCTTTTATGTCCTTGGTGATTTATTGCCCACTGTACATATTTTTCAGTGCAACTCTTGTTTATAGTTTTATTTTGGGAGTGGTTCGTATGAGTCAACTCTGCGAGTCAGAAAAACAGCAGATGTACAGAAAAAGATCATGTGTGGACCAGTGAGTTGAGTATAGGACCCGAGGGGGCTCTGGGGTAATCCTTCCAACCCCGGAAGCCCTTCCTTTTGGCCATCGGGCCTTTCTGGTTGCCTTTGTTATCTCTTCTCTGTCTAAGCAAGAGAAATAAAGATAACTTAATAAATGTAGCTTATAGGGACTCAAGAGGGCTAGAATAATAAAAAGTGTCCCTGGGGATTAAAAGGTTAGAAGCTACCAGTTTAGCTGGTATATCTTCTTTTGGTTTCAGGGACTTTTTGCCAATTGAATTAAATGTGGTTCCGCTAAAACTTGTTTGACTACTACCTCAAGTTGAAATATCATATAATGATCATTGTTTGAAAATTTGGTTCTTTCTTGGCAAAGTTCACTCTTTCGGTATTTTGTGGCCATTCTAAAAGAGGCCAAATACTGCCCCTGTCCTTTGCTGGTCTTTTGCTCCTGGGTATTTTACTGAAGTTTCCTAGAGCCTTGTTTCCACATTTATAAAATGGAGATAGAGTATCAGTTACCTCACAGTGCTAGATGAGATCGTGTAAATAGAGCCGCTTAACACAACTCCCTGGCATTTAATGAGCACTTTATAAATGCTAGCTACTATTTCTTTTCACTCCCAGGGACAATGCATTTTGTTATAGGGAATCACACTAGGTTGATATTGACTACAAGCCCAATTAAATGTGTCAAGCTTTTGGGGGGTAATTTCATTAAAAAAAAAAAAAAGGCAGGGAAAGAAGATGAATGTTAAAGAAATGTATTTCACACAGTCGAATCTTCCATAGTATGACCCGCTAGTAGGAGAGAATTTTTGGGGGGTGTAATGGAAAAAACCTTAAGAGTCATGTGTCCTGAGGTGACTTTTATCTTGTGTTGACCCATAACACTGGCCCCACGTGCAGCCATGTTGCCCTGAAGATGATCTGAAGGAGAATTTGTAGTGAACGTAAGAGGAAAATGTCCATTTTTTGGTTCAGCTTCCTCTCTCCCAGGGCCAGGCTGACTACGTTGGATCCTGATTTCCTTCAGTGTCACAGCGAGGGCAAGGAATGACAAATAGAGGGCACAGTGCTTCCCACTTTCCTGGTGTCACTCCTCTGGTCTCCAGCACTGATTTCACCCACATACATACACCCCTCTCCTGCCCCCTCCTCAGCCCCGAGAGCATTCCATTCCCATTCTACTCTTGGCAGTGTCCGGCTAACAGAGCTCAGCCAAAGTCCAGTGTGTGGGGTGAGGTTTGCCAGCTTTCAGTGCTGAAACAGTGCCACTTGAGCACCTCCCTCCCTATACTCACTCTTTCCCGAAACCTCTGGTGTTTTGCAAATCTCCCGGAAGTGAACAGCCAGAAGAGGAAAGCAAAAGTGGGTCAGGGAATGGTTTGAATTACTGGACGCAAAAATCCAAAAACCAAACCGAAAAACTGCCCATCCTCACTCATCCCTCATTTCCATTTCTCACAGAACCCTTGGGCTTCCTTTTTGTAATTTTCTTCCCCTTCAAGGCGATTTTATATATTTATTTAAAAAAAAATTTTTTTTTAAGATTTTATTTATTTAACAGAGAGAGGGAACACAAGCAGGGGGAGCGGGAGAGGGAGAAGCAGGCTTCCCCGCGGAGCAGGGAGCCCGATGCGGGACTTGATCCCAGGACCCTGGGATCGTAACCTGAGCCAAAGGCAGACGCCTAACGACTGAGCCACCCAGATGCCCCTCAAGGCGATTTAAAAAAACTTTTTATTATGAAAAACTTCAAGTGTGCACCGAAGTGGAGAGAAGAGTATAAGTAACCCCCAAGTGCCCAGCACACGCAACTCAACGATAATCAACATTTTGCCCATCTTGTTTCATCTCTCCTCCCTATTTTATTATCTTTATTTATGTGTTCATTTATTCCTAGAGTATTTTTGAAGCTAATTTATTTTTAATGGATTCTCCCCCTCCCCCAAGTTGAAGCTGGGAGTTGAGCAGAGGAGACCAAGCCTGGTGAGCTCAACCCCTCACCCTGCCTCCCCAGCCCCCCATCACTGCCTTGAGGGTGGAATCAGGCACAAATACAGTTTCATAACCTGATTTTTATTCTTCCAGTAAGTAATGGTGCCCATCTTCTTTATGCCAGACACTGTGCTAGGCACTGAGGATAAGAGAGAGGATAAGAAACGCTCAGTTTGGTGAGAAAAAAAGTAAGAGGCAATACTGTTCGTTTGGCCTGATTATTTATACACTTGCAGCAAGAGTGTTCATTTGACCACATAGGCCTTCTTAAACTGCTTTGTAAATCTAGAGCCATATATTATTGACAAGGCCACAAAATTTACTTCTTTCCAGAAATTTCCTTCAGGAATCTCAGATTGGACTTTTAAAAGCCTCTATTATTCACTATGTTGAGTTTAGAAAAACCAAGCCCAAGAAACTCTTTCCTCTAGGTTTCTCCCATTGTACCTATAAATTTGGGTGAATTGCTTTCTTCTCAAGGTCCCCACAATTTCCTAAAGTTCCTGGCCTGCCAAGAAGGGAGCTTCCTCACCTACTGCAAAACTGGGACCCTTAAACAGGTCCTGCGCAAGTTTTCCTGAGAGGACTTTGCAGACATTAGTTCATCATATTGGATTAAACAAGCATCATTCTCAAAAATGACTTCTGGGCAAGGCCTTGGTTGCATACCGATTTTTTCATTATATCCTGGTAAAAAGGAGGACAAATTCTTATTGAACTTATGCAAATAACTACCATGAAAAGTAAGGAGACTTGTAAGCTTCTTGGTGATGCTGTGTGAGACATCATTTAAGAATGTTTATTTCAGGGGCACTTGG